GAGTTGAAATGTTGGGCCACAGGAAATCCAGGAGTGTTCTTGCGTATGCTTCGCAAATGCTCACCAAATCGACTTCTGAGGCTTCGACCGGTTTCACCGATTTGGTGAGCATTTGCGAAGCATACGCAAGAACACTCCTGGATTTCCTGTGGCCCAACATTTCAACTCTACGGGCCATATTATCACAGATGTCCAGGTGCGTGGTATGCGTTTGTGTAGTGGCACCAACATCCAGCGAAAACAACAGGAGATGAGGCTGATTTTTCGGCTAGGAACAGTGCAGCCGCATGGACTAAACATAAACTTCAGCTACATTTAAAGAATGCACGCGCAATTTTTCTACGTGCGCGCACCCATCTAACGTAGTTACAAATCTACTGCGTATTTTAACGGTTTTTTAACACTAAAGAAGGGTCATATACCCGAAACGTCTGTGTTTTCAAGAACATTTTTGACACTTTCCGATATTTATAAATCCAGTATCGCTTCAATCGTTTTTAACCAAGTGTCACGCATCAACAATGACTTTTTAGTCTACCAATATACATTAAGGACGGTGCCTACTTTTGTTAGTGCGCACACGTTCTGTGCGTCACACAAGGCATGGTTTAAGTGCCACGTGCGCGCGGGGCTTGACATGACGCAATCAACCACGCTACCAGGTACACGACGACAGAGCTGAATAACGCAAAGGGCTACGTCACAGCCCAGCGCATGGGAACGTGGGCTCAGGCGCGCGCGGTTTAAAATGGCTGCGATTCGCGGGTAATTTTTTTTTGGTATTTAAACTTAAAAAATAAGGCGGTTGTTTAAAAAATAAGGAAATTGCTTAGAATTTGGGGGAGAGAAATAAGTATTTCGAAAAAGTAAGGCCTGTCGAACGTTGTGAAAAAATTGTTTTCTTCAATAATTTCGCCCTCAAACTTACGCGGACGCGAAAATATTTTTCGGGGGCATTGTAACCCAATGTTTACATTCGTGTTCTGGGTTTTGTTGGGGATATTTCTTCCTCGTANCAACATCCAGCGAAAACAACAGGAGATGAGGCTGATTTTTCGGCTAGGAACAGTGCAGCCGCATGGACTAAACATAAACTTCAGCTACATTTAAACAATACACGCGCAATTTTTCTACGTGCGCGCGCCCATCTAACGTAGTTACAAATCTACTGCGTATTTTAACGGTTTTTTAACGGTTTTTTAACACTGAAGAAGGGTCATATACCCGAAACGTCTGTGTTTTCATGAACATTTTTGACACTTTCCGATATTTATACATCCAGTATCGCTTCAATCGTTTTCAACCAAGTGTCACGCATCAGCAACGACTTTTTAGTCTACCAATATACTTTTATGTCTAATAATGCCTATGGTTATGTCAGTGATGCCTATGGTTATGTCAGTGATGTCTACGCATAACTTTCTAAATCTATGGTTGTGTCTATGTCTATATATAATTGTCTCCATTGTATATCCATGTCTAGGTTGTGTCTGTGTCCATGTCAGTGATGTCTATAATTATGCACAAGTGTCCATATCTTTGTCTGTGTCTATGCATAAGTGTCTATGTCTATTTATAATTTTCTCCATTATATGTCTATGTCTATGTCATGTCTGTGTCTATATCTATGCACAACTCTCTGTGTCTATGCATGTGTGTCTATATCTGTCCGTATAATTGTCTACATTGCATATCAATGCGTATCACTTTCTACAGTGAAAGTCCGCAGTCGATGTCTACATTTAATGTCCAGGCCTATGTCTTTGTCTGTCTGTTTTCCTGTCTGTCTCCTGGGGATATTACTGCGCATTTTTTATTGATGTTCAATTAATTAAAATCTCCCCTTTTCATCTGCTGCAGAATTCAAGTACCATGCTTTCATAAGTTTCCAAAAGGAAGATTCCCATTGGGTGAGCGGGGAACTCCTTCCATTCCTGGAAAAAGAACATCAGATACAATGCTGTCTTCACTACAGGGACTTCGATCCTGGAACACCTTTTCTAGAAAGCATGGCGGACGGCGTTTACAAAAGCTACAAAATCATTGTAGTATTTTCAAGTAATTTCTTGCAGAGCAATTACTGTATCCATGAGCTGGACCTCGCACAATATCGCCTTCTAAACAGACGTGATGACAGCCTTATTATTATAAGAATTGATAACACAGATCCCAGCAAGCTTCCTCCTGCGCTACAGAAAAGAAATTTTATCGACTACTCCGATGTACTGGAAAGACCTTTTTGGAAGAGTAAACTTCTCAAGTTCCTAAATTCTGGCAGCCAAAGCGTGTCTACAGACACAGACAATAATAACAGTTCTCTGGAGGAGTCTAACGAGCAAAATGGAAATAGACAGGCGAGAGCTGGATTTGACAGGCTTAACAGCACGATTAGCACCGCCACAGAAATATCTATCGTTTCTCTCAACGAGGAAAGGTTGATTTAAACTGTAGATGTATTGCACTGATGTGTTTTATCGTAGTACACGATCTACACTGTACAAAACCTGGTATGGCTTTTTCTGTAGGAGAAGGTCAATGCAGGAAAATGTTACATGAATTCTTGCATGTTATATACCCTCTTAAGTTCTCTGTGATATTTAGTAACTAGTGAATTTAACGAGCGTTCCTTAGGAATGGCCAATTCCCTCAGTGAGACGCAGCTGCACGGAATCATGGCGGTTGTATTCATTAAAACAAATATCCAGTCCAATATGATGTATACAACTACCACGATTCCCTACGGGTGCATCTCATAGAGCGATTTGCGAATCATTAGCGATCATTTAAGCTAACGATTTTAGAGTCGTTGGCAATCCTCCGTAGGAAAAAAGATGGCGACTGGTATATTTACCCACAGTTCTTAGCGCACGAAAACCTTAACAATGTTCATAAAAACGTACAGAAACGTTATAAAATCTTCAAACCTAGGCTACTCAATGTCCTTAGTACAGGGACAAATATTGCAAAAATTTGGCTTTCTTTGTGCCTCATGGGCTGAGTTAGGTTCGCAAGGCTTTGCGGTAAAATGTACAGCCGCCATCGTTTTTCCTACGGTGGGTTTCAGCAGATATCCAAATCTAGCGAGAGTTTCTATTTCAAAATAACGTTTTTTATTTTATGAAATCCCTGATCGTATTTGGCGACACTATACATATCGCTGGATTTCTGAAAACATTTTTAAAGAAAAACGGTTTCTTTTAATTTGCACTAAAGTAAGAGTGAAAAATGGAAAATACCAGTGGAAAAAAAAGACTGACATTTCTTTTAATTTTTACATCGTCTATCTATGAGTCTCTGGTGAGAAAAAAGAAAACTCTTGACACCAGGGTTGAAATTGCTTTAACACCTGACTTCATGCATATGTACATATACATGTAGTTGTTAAAAAAAAATTCTGACATCTAGTCGCTGAAAATAAAAAAGGTGTCCTGTAAGCTAAAATTAGTCTGTTTAGAGCACTGTTCAAGTAGCGTGCATTTGTAAAATAGTTTTTGCAGAAAAACTTGTTTTTCACTGAAGTGAAGGATACTAGTGACTGTATATGTGTCATTAAACATTTCGCTTACGTTGTTTTGTAATTGTATGCGTTTGTCTAAATATTTAGCTAGCAATAATTTTTCGTCTTTCGCAGGTGTTCCCACGATCATTAACCCTTAAAGCAATAATTCTTCTACGTACAGAAACCGCGTCATACGCCATTTTTCCGCGCTTGGCTCGTGAGTTGTCCGTGCGCTAGAAAGCCAAACTCCGTTCGCATTTCTTGTACAATTTTGGTCTGTTCCTGATATAACAACAGCATAAAGAACACATGGGAAGAAGGGTGGGTTTGCGCTGAGACGGGGAGGGGGGAGAGAACGACGTGCTACCGTGGATTGCGGGGGAGGATGTCAACAATCGCGTTAGTTTTACGTTTAAATTTCCCATGTCGAACCTTGCGTTCAGAGCTCGTTCCCTTCCGCTTTGTCGCCTTTGTTGACACAAAGCTTCCTGTTCCCAGAAGACATATTTTTGACATTAACCGAGACTGTTTTTTTTTTTTTTCATTTAAGACAGGTTCGTAACAATAAATGACTACTAGGCTTCTGCTAAGCAGGATCTCTTTAATTTCATCATGGGTACTCGTCAAATTCATGAATCATCAGGGGCTCACAACGAGCAAACTTTTTCCGGGTGGTTCTCCCCTGGGTTTCCCATCTAGGAGAGTCTCAATAGGGTTAACCACCGTTAGCCGTAAAACGTTTTAATCGTGTTTATGACTTAGATAACCTTGCTTTTTGGCCCTATTTTCCTAAACTTTATTTGATGCACTGGGCCTTGCGGTGATTTTAGTATGACATGAAGATGAATGGATCACGAGACAGAAAAAGGTTATATTGATTAATCAGTTTCTACAAGGTTTCGTATCTTTGAATGTTAAAATGAACGCTACCAAATTTATTTTCAAGATGAGCCGAAGAGATAGGTTTTCAAGAACTGTAAAAAAAAGCTCAATTATATTTGAAAAATGACCTTTTTGTTTGGCAGTCCATGCGTGTTCACGTAAGCTCCATATAAACAAAGGAAATGCAAAGTTGTAGGAGGAGAAAGCGTGCAAAGGGTGCTGTCGTTGACAATTCGTGACGTGTCGGTTTGATGATTGGTCTAATGTTATTTCCCATATTCATGATGACTATTGCTGATCTGAGGTGCTTGTTTGTCATTTTATGATGGTTGCCGTCGAAGCAAGATGTGTACAGTTCCCTTCTACACGAGAAGCAAATTCTTACTTTGAAGAAGAAATGGCGTCGACGTTTGTGGAAGAGAAGTCAGCCGACACCCATTTGCACCAATGGTTAGTATCAGTTACTTTGCATTCTACCTTTTAAGGTAATATTTCAACCAAATATACCAGCTCCAAGTCATTCTACCACGTGCGATTGCCGGACTCGGTTTACATTTGGTGCAGTTCAACTTCAGAACAACCGCATGGCTTTAGTAAGAGAACAAAACGTACGTTAAGAGTTAGTTCAGGAACCATGCGAGACGCTAGGTTCTTCTTTTTTTTTTCCACGAGAGTTTGACTTTCGCTTCTTTGTCAAACTTTGTCGTGTACTTGTGAACGCGCGCTCGTGCACTAGCAATAGTAAACTGTTTACTCTTCGTTTACTTGTTTGTTTCCACACTTAGGTTTGTTCCTTATGCAATTTTTATATATTATAATTCCAGAGAGTAAACGACTGAAGACTTGAAAGTCAAGAAAACATCAGGAGGTCAAAAGGATTTAAGTTGAGAAGATGAAGACAAAGTTAAGAATAATATTTGAGAATTTGGTTAAATGGAAATCTCTCCGATAATTAATGGCAGTTTTGAAACTAGAGGTCAGAAGATATAATAGAGTCCAAAAACGTTTTGCTTGAAAGTTTCATTTTTTTTTCTCGGCTGAAATATTTGCTTTAGAGCGACATTCGCGTGCGAAAAAATTGGGTTGTGATTAAGTAACTCTGCCATTTTTGACGGAAAGGTTTCAACCGCTTTCAAGCTATCATTTGGTACATGTTTTCAAATTATGGGGGGTTTTATTTTTTTGCTCGGGCGATCATCAACTTGATTAAATTATGTTTTATCGTTTCGGCGTTTGCATGCTTTACTACGTGTAATTTGTCAAAGTCAAGTGTTGTTATTTTTTGAAAATTCCAAATTGTTTTACAATCGCTCAACTCTCCCAAGTTTGAAAACCTGTAACTAGGCGACGACCTTTGATGAGTAGTTAAGGTGGCGCTGCACGTTGAAATGAAACCGTGATAGCAACTACGGTGATCATGTCAATCATCATTGCAAATCCTGTTTCGTAAAAATTGGACAAACAATTAAACGCTGAACATTTCAATTTGCCTTGTTCTCCAAAATCGCTTTAGATACTTGGTTTTACGAAGGCCTTGTTTCTATTTATAATTTGAATTGTCTGTCGGAGGGCAATGCCTTTGCTGAAAAACGAAATTAAATGACTGGACGTGAAAAATTGTTTCAGTTGAGCTATCTATGTTGTCGGAGAATTATTCGCTTTTCAAGTCTTGGCATTTCCAGATACGAAATTAAAGAAGAGTCTTGATTGATTCTTCGATTTGCAGTCGAATAGACGTGAACATTTATAATTGTTTTTCCTTATTTCCCAGGAGAGTCGCGGAAATTAATTCATCTGATGTAAATTGCTTGGCCTAAAAAAGCAATTTCCCTGCTCAAAATTAGTTTATGATCCAAATGATGTAAAAATGTTGTGTAGCTTGCATTGAAGTTAATTAAAAGTCAGTATAGCTATCCAAAAAATTACATCGCTTCGTATTTTCGTCATCTGAAATTAAGAAACCTTCTAAATTATTCTAGGCATCGTTAGCGAATCCTTTGAAAATTTGGATTTGTTCACAGCTTTATTCAATTTGTTTTTTGAATCTTTGAAACATGTTGCCATGATTGCAACATATTAAGTAATGCTTTCTTAGCTGTTTCGCGCGTGTTTTTTTTTTTTCGTTTTATGCGCTATAGTAAAAAACGCGAACGAACTTTGGCGTTATTTGTGTGTTGACATGCAGAGCCACCTTGAAAATAAATAATTCTAAGAGAGGATATTGGGTTTCTGGATTGATCTTCATTTTCTGAAAATACTAGATCTCACATATTCTTTTACACATTTCTGTACGCAAAAAGTTCGGTTTATACGCGCGAAAAGGTCAGTCAGAAACCAAATATATCGTCTTGTTTAACTTTCAGTGAGGCTGTATTGAATTATGCCTGGTATCAAGCAACTCTTTCCATTACCGCTTCTTCAAAAATGTAGGTCCAATTGTCTAATTTTTCAGGTTGTTTTGACTTTCATTTGTAGTATCAGATATATCGAGTCTTAGAAATGTAGCTTCAATTTTCTGAATATTCTAAAATGTTACAGCTACTAATGGGACTGCTAAACATTTTTCTACCGAATAATAGATTTGTTGATTTTCAAAAATTTGTTGTTCCAATTGTTTGATTGTTCTAAATGATATTGCTTTCGTCCGCAACGACAGCATTCACTATTACATCTTTGATTTTCAACACTTGGCTCCAATTGTGTGATCCTTCTCAAATTGTATCTCTATACTTTGGATTCTCTATAAAATCTATTACTACGAACGTAGGTCCAGTCGTCTGATTCTTCTAAAATTTCAAGGCTATCGTTTATTCGCAGTTAGCTCAATTGCTTTTCAAAGCTGTAGTTTCAATTACTTGATTCTTCTAAAATGTTATTGTTTCGTTTGCAAATGACAAAGTTTTAATAAAAAAATATTTAACAGAAGTCATAGGATATAAAATTATAGTAATACGTTTTAGAGCTTGATAACCAGACAATAACCTTTAACACCTCGCTGGAAGTAGTTTCTAAAAGATAACGAAGCAAGCCATGAACTCTTTTTTTTTTTTTTTTTTTTTTAAATTGGCCTATAATTTGTCGGATTTTGCTTTTTCATCTCGGCTAAAAGTGACGGAAGCTTTTACATTTTTCAAACGCTAGGACAAGTTTAAAGTTTTTGCTTTCTTTTTAAATTATTTCGTACAAAAAATTGGTTTCATGGCCTGCCCTGCTATCTTCTTCAAATAAATTGCATGATGATATCACTTTAAATAGTTAAGCTGTGAAAGACGGGCAGCTAGAAATCTATGTACAGAAATGAGACGAACCAGTTTAAATGTCTACAACTGCAACTTTTCCGCAAAACAATGAGGTGGCGACATTTTAGAATCGCTATAGTTAAGAGAGTTAATGTAGTTGGGGTGCTGAGTTACCCGGCCAT